AAAACCATTCTTGTCGTGCCACTTCCAAGTCGGCAAAGTGAAATGCCTTAATGATCATTTAAGAGACAGAGACAGAAGCAAATGTTTTAAGGCTGGATCAGGGCTGATGGCGCGGCGGTAATTTATGAACAGAACACATTAAAGATTCATGGCTCTCTTCTCTTACGGTGTCACCAAACTGTGGGAACGCTATTCATCACGCACGCAGGCTGCAAAGGGGAGAAACCCAGAAGAAAAGCTTAGCGTGGACGGAAAAAATAAAACAGTCAGAGCTGCAAAGTGGCCGGTGCAGAAGGTGAGAGAGCCGTCCTGGATGAACGTCTCTAAGCAGCCGAACGATGTCGCCGCGTCCGATCCACCTGCAGAACGCTGATAGGTTCAAGGCGCCATCACTCCCCGCTCCGTATCCACTGTATCTCAGCTCAGTGAAGACACGGATTTGACAGCATGATTTATCTGAGCCCTAACTCCTCTCGCCGTCCACTAAAAATACCTCAGGGTGCCTGTTTGCCTCCCAGCTCTTCTTACAAATATCACACAGCTGTGCATGATGGGATTGATGCGCTCATCCCTGGTCTTCAGACTCAGGCCAGGGTTTTTTTTTCTTTTTTTTACAGGCAGTGCTTAAAAGTCCATAAACTTGCTTGTGAACCGGTCACATAAATATACACACACCACTGACTGTGCTCTTTAGACACAAAATAGGTCATATAATCGCTCATAGTTTCCCGCGCCGCCTTCGCTTTAACAGCTTCAGGTCCAGTTTCAGATTTCTGTCTCTGACATTTCAAAGGTCATCCCCCAGTGGATTTGATAAGAGTGGCCATTTCAGAGAGCGCGCGGTGTGTCTTTGGTTTGTTCTGGTCGGGTTGTGTTTGTGATTACTGTTTCATTGTGTTGCCTCTGAACTTTGCCTGAGGGGGCGGAGGGGCTTCAGCGATACGAGTGTCGGGCGGACGGAGGCGAATCTCTGTCAACAGACGGCTCCGTTTTTTTCCCTCTTACCTGTTTTCCTTCCGTCATCCTGACAGGGGCCAGAGCGGCGCCAGAGTCCCCGTCAGGCGCCAACAGCAGCGCCGACAGTAAACATGCAAACAGCCGAACACACACAAACCGCATCCGTGTGCGCCGCGCATTGTAAATAAAGTGTCGCGCGGTAGAAGATGAAGGGCAAACGAGGGGATTTGCATTGCAAATTAAAACCGCAAAAACCTCGGGTCGGTATTTTTCCTTTCATATTGTAAATGTGTTGTCATTTCAGCCGGGGCTCAATGGCCGGACTTGTTGCCGTGTTGTTCCATTCACTGACACTGTTGTCATTGTGCTCAACATTCTCCTCCAGCAGAACATCTGCCCTGATGTGTACAAAGGACTCGACGAGATCGGTGTTAACAAAGTTCACTCATCCTTTGTTGTCATCCTTTTTCTTTTTTTTTTAAACTCTTCTCCAGACAAAAAAAAAGGAGAAAAATGCCAGAAATTCTCTTTTCCTGAAGTCCTCTGGTGGCGTCTGTGTTTGATTGGCAGCTGCTGGCAGGCTGAGCCCTGGCACAGGAAGACAGACCAAGTAAATGAACTCGCGCTGGAAACCGGAGCGCACACGACACGGGCCGACAGTTCTGTTCGCAGCGGTAATGAACGCAAGGGTCACATTAGCATCTGAAAAAGACTGAAATTACATTTGCAAATACGTTTTTTTTCTTTTTGGAGCTCAGCTGATGCCTAATTAGCTAATTAGGTAAGTAGCTAATCAAGCTAATTAACTAACTAGCCTGCAATTTGAAGATAGGAAATGCACTTTTCCGCTGTGGATGTTCGTCTGGTCGTTAGTTCAGCGAGCAAAAAGCGGCGACGAGATGCACATCAGTGGAACAGACGAGGACGTCAGTAAACAAAAAGCTGGTGTGCAGCAGAAAGAATCCAGTAAAACAGCTTTAAATCATGCACTCGTCAAAAATGTGATAATTCTGCTGTTGAAGCCGTCGTGGATGGTGGCGGCATGGAAAAGTGTGCACAAAATGTTGGTAGTACTTATGACTGTATCTCCCTGAAACATCTGTTGTGGAGTAAATGCAGCACGGCAGCCTGGTGTGATGTCTTCACTGTCCAGGTAGAGTCTAAAGGAAACAGCTTGATTACCAGAGCAGTGGGAGGAAGGAACACCCATCCCATCACCATGTGTATGTAAAGACATGGCCAGAGGATCCTCAAGAAAACTTCTACGTCGTGTTACTTTCAGGAACACTTTCCTTTATCCCCACTGCTGTCAACAAACTCAGTCTGAACTCCTCAATGTGTCCGGCTGCTTATTTGATCGACGTTGCTGATCTCTGAACCCCCTTTTTTAGTCTTCTCGTGTTGCAATATGCTCATAGGTTTGTACAACATGCTTTTTAGATCATCTGCATGTTGTTTGTGTCGGTGTTTGTCCTCCTCGGCTGGTGTCCAGGTGTGCAGACAGCCAGCAGGTCGTCCTCGCTGTAGGTCGTCGCCTCCACGCCAGCAGCCGGGGCTTCCTGCTCACGGTGTCGGTGACGGGTATTATTTTCATCAACAGCCAAGCAGAAAGGGCCCTAATTGTATCAGTGACTCCAAAGTGCAGGAGAGAAAAGAGCATTTTTCACTCTTCCAGCAGCAGGAGGGGAGACGATGAAATTAGATTATGCCATTGTGTTCTGAAGAGCAAAGAGAACATTTCAGAATGGCTCCTTCTGCTCGAACAATGCACGCCGCTTCGCCAAAATCTTGTCATCTCTCGTTTCTTCGCGCTCGCCACCTTTTTTCCGTCTTTGTTTTTGCTCTGCTTTTGTCTGCCTCTCTCTCTCTACTGTCCTTATTTAACAAATTAAAGGAAGAATGAGAAATGAAATTGCAGTGAGAGCAGCAGAGATGCCTCTTTCATGTTTGCCTGGGGAACATCCTCTTCTTTCCCCCTTTTTCTCCAAACGTGTAAAGCATATGGCGCCGCCTGCCAGAAGCAGGTGTTGAACCGCTTTTCATTATATAGTGTATATCAGTCTCCATCAAAAAAAGAAAAATGAAGTGGGCATCACTCCAAGAGGGGCTTGTGTCAACATTTTTCTCAGTATTTCGGTGCAAACTTGACTCCTGGCTGTGTGTGTTTAAGCTTTGTCGATGCGTAAAAGATGCTAAACTGTTAATTTTTTAGGCTTTAAAAGAGGTGTCACCACACCGGGGGAATGTTTCACAGCTGGGTGAGACATAACAGTTGTTATTTCCTAGTTTAATGATGTGATTCCTCTCCTCTGTGTTTGCAGGACGTCCTGGGTCTTGGCCAGAAGCTGCCGTACAGATCCAAGAGATCCCTGCTGGTGCCTCCGATGATCGTTACCGAGAACCAGAGAGCTCCCTTCCCCAGGATCATCGGCAGGGTGAGGAACAACCATCCTGTTCACGACAAGATAATAAAATGAGTTGGATGTTTTGCATTCAGAATGCTCACCCTGGAGAGGAGCTTGGCCTGTGTACAAAACCAAGCATTAAATACATGCATTAAACTTTAAAACTTTATTTGACCCTTCGGCCACCTTTGAATATTAAAACCACGGTCTCATTTAGATAAAAAGACGAGGGTTTGGTGTTCTCTCTAATCTACTGCAGCCTCACGGACAGTTTAATGGGAAAGATGAAAGTGATTGTTGCAGCAATATAAAAAGACAAATATGGAAATATTTGTCGAAGAAAATATTATAAAGCTAAACGCTCCAAGGTATCTGTGGTCTTTTGCTAATTTATTTTTAGTTCATGTGGGGATAACAAAATATTAGCTTGTTTGTAAAAGTCGCTGCAATATATGGCAGGTTTAGGAAGTCGTTTTTAATATTTAAGTGACTCTTGGTCACATTATGATGAGATAAAAACAAGAGGGAGCAACAAATCAACGTGGCTGTTTTCAATGAGCTTTTAGAGTTTATCAGACTAATAGAAAACTCACAAAAACTGTGAGTTCAGGTTAGCTCTTCTGGCTTGTGAAAAGCGTCCTGATCAGTTGTAGGCATCCATAACTCATGCTAAAAGGTCTGAAGCACACTCCTGCTACATGGCTTCAGTAAAGCAGGTTTTTACTCTGTTTTGTTTCCTCTAATTGCTGTTTTCAGCCAAAAAATGAACGACACCAGTCCTCTGTAAATATGATCTGACTGCAGCTGAAGGACAACGAGAGTCTGAACACATGCATCCTGTTTCCATTGATAGTAAAGTGTTATTCTATGCAGACGATACTTGACTTTTCATTTAAAGCTAACTGTGAAAGACTAGCTAGTATATTTGCACGGCTCATGACCCGACTGATGGAATCACAACAAGACGTGATTAAAAATGTCTCGTGTGCATCCTCCAGTCAGTGCAACTAACTTTACTGTTTGTGACGTGTTACTCAGATCACGTACACGGTGTTGTTTATTTTACATATTATCTGGTACACAGTGAAGACACGACTCCCTCACCCTGTTACACGTCTTTTGCATCAGGTTTCTGGCTTCTGTCAGTCACATGAGGAGAGATTTTTGGAACTGAATCGATGTAGGGAAACATTCTTACTCACTTTTAAACCTGCAGTGCAAAACTTTTGTCGTCTCCTTCGAGACGTGAGCGACACAAACACTGCTGATGCATAGAGAGAGGCGGTAATCCTTCCTGTGAATACTGAGTGTGTTTGTTATGTGGAGCATCAGAAAGTTATCTTGAATGCTTCCCAGGTTTTTCCGCCACATGTTCCACTACACTCTCAGTGTCTGTATCCCATTTCGTTTCCATTGCTTCTCTCTTCAGCTCTGGCAAACCAAACGTTGCCGGTTAAAGCAAAACGCTGCTTCACTCAGTGTCGCCTCAGTCCTTTCATTTTAAAGTCTGGCATACTTTACTTTACTTGTTGCTGATAGGCTCAATTAGCGCCGTGCGATCTCGTTTGGCAGCGGCTTGGATGCAACATGTTTAAGTGAAAGTCCTGAATTCTAGCTTTAACACGTCTTTGTATGCAGCCCATATATTCTTAGTTTTAAACGTCATGCAGCCCTACACAGTGCTAAAACCAGACTAATTAGCTAATTAGGATGTTAGTAATTTGGCTTATTCTTTGGTATTCTGGGTGTCCGTGACAACCGCACAGGAAGTGAGCATATTTTTAGGAACTATGGTTAACGGTAGCTGTATTGAAAGAAACACAGCTACACAAAAGGCAGCACTGAGTACTATAGCTCATGTGTGAAGGTATATTCAAGTGCTATAGGTCATGACAAACCTTGACAAAGCAAGGCATGTAAGAAAGTTTTAAGACTGACTTATCAGGTTGTTAAATACGAGGAATATGAGGACGTTTTGATTTATTTTCTACCTGCCAGGTTACAAATTCTCTCTCTTATCTGTGTATCACATTTTATCTTGATGAATTTTCTGTTTTTTAATCAGATTTTTTGAGGATTATTGTGTTTTAAGATCCTTTTTTTTCTCTTTTTTTTTGCAATGAAAAGCCTGACAAATACACGAGCTCTTGTTTAAAATGAGCGTCTCGGATATTGTGTGCAGTCAACTGCAGAATTAAATTAAAACTCTCATGTTCATATTTTTTTTTTTGGTTTGTTTGAGACCAAATAATTCAGACAGAAAGTACGAGTAGGGAAAATACTGAAAAACACACCAAGAGACAGACCTCGCTGTGTTGAAGGACCAGTGTGGAGGATGTAGGGGGCTGAATAAAGCATTCATAATTAAATGCTCATTAGTGAATAATTACTTGTGATCGTTGTGTTTTCTTCAGTTTAGAATGAGTCCGTCGTGTCTGTGTCGGTCTTCTTTGCCATCTTTGTACCATATCTCACCTGATGAACCAACCGCCGGCTCTACGGAGGGCTTCTTGTGTTTTTACACCCATTGGTTTCCCACCACAGGATCTCCTGCATGCTTTTAAAGCGACGGCTGATTGGTTTCAATCTGCAGCCTCACCGCTAGACGCCACCAAATCTTATACACTGGTCTTTCAAAATCTGACGTGGAAAAATCTAAGCGTTTTAATTAACGGCGCTGCTAATTGACACCCTGTTGAAGTCTGGAAACACGTCCCAGTGGAGGCTGAACGCTGGGACAGTACTGCTAAAGATGAAAATGTGATCTTAGGACGTTGTCATCTCCAAAGCATGCTACGATATACGAACGTACTGTGTCACTGATGACGAGGGGTTTTATTTTTCCAGCTAGAAAACACTCAAGATGACACGACAGAGCAAATTATTTACGTGTCACATCATACACTTGAATCCTTCTTTAGTTTCTCTTTCCCACTTTGGAGAAAATCTAATATTTTACCTTTCTATAACGTCCGTGTGGTGATTTTTTTGTAATCTTGAGGATAAATGAGCCGTCAGTGCATCGATTCTCAAAAACACAGATTCAGACTTCCAGGATAACCAACCCAAGCAGCCGATGGAGTCGGTCAACGAGCAGGATGAAGCTTTTTGTACCTTTATTGCTTTTCAAAGTTGGTCAAACACATACAGATTACTACAGCACGACAACTTGTCATTGGATAGAACAGTGTAGCTTTTAGCTGAGTTGTTGATGAGCTCCACCTTCAGTCAGGATGGATGGGCTTCTGAGATCTGTGTATTCTAGTAAAATCACCATTTGAAGGCAGTAGGGGATTATTTCATGAAAAAAATAAAAGTCTAAGTCTGTAACTTTGATGCGCAGAGATTAGCTTTTCTTCGAGGTTAAACCCTGAGAGGAGAGGAACTCCAGCCGTCTTTGTCACGAGCAGATCTGTGCAGCAGGTAAATCACTTCACCTGAATCCTCTTGGATCAGATGGTCAACCCGAAAGCCGTACATCCCGACTCCTGCGCGAGGTTCTACAATTATCTCTCCCGGCGTTGCAGAGCTTTGATGTATCTTTGCATGTCAGTCAGCTTTGTTCTAGATAAGGCCGGGCACTACCAGATCATCCACGTCGCTCGCTGCCCGCTGAGACTAACATGAAAAGATATCCTGTACTGAGCTGTGCGTATAATGGATAATTGTACCCTGGAGAGCATGACCACGGCACACAGCCTCATACTAACACTGTCCTCAGTTTGGTTGGCGGGTTGAGGGCCTGGAGGCTGCTGGAGATGGACGGTGGACTCACTGCATGCATGTTTGGGGGACGACCACACTCCAAGGGGGTCATGCAGATTCCTTGTTTTGGTGCATATGGGATCCAAATCGTTTCTGCAGCATGCTATGGACCTCTTCTCCAACCTCCACACTCAGGGTTTGCATGAGAAGACAGGTTAATGTGGACTACTTTACCCAACAGGAGCTGTACGGTGGCGACTCGGCAAAATTGATTTTCCACACCGATAGCTTCCCCTCTTCGTACACATCCTACCGCTTCCATATGGCAGCTGTTCATATTTCATACCGCCTTCTTCTCTGCGGGAGATAATCAAGTGGGAAGCAGGGGGAGAGTCGAGATTACGCCTCGACATGTATGACTGTGTGCACATGCGGTGGTGCGCCGGCGAAGGCGAGGGCGGTTCGGTTGTCAGCGGGGCTCGCCGGGGGGGGGGAAGGAGGGGAAGAACCTTGTTGTTTATGTCACATCTCCTGCTCGCTGTGGAATTGTTTTGATCCAGAGGTCTCTCCCCTGCCCTCCCCCAGGGGCCCATAAACAGCTCACAACAACTCACACAGCAGCTGGAGCATGCAATGAAAGCGATATGCTTAAATGTTTCTCATCGCCGCCGCCGCCGCCGATAGGACCGTACTTCAGAGTATTCAAGTACTCGGGAAGATAAATCAGTCATGGCTCAAGTAGTTTAAATGTTTATTCCCAAAGCTTTTTTTCATTTGTGCTTTTTTTTTTTTTTTGCTCGTGTCTGGAATTACATGTGAGTCGGGCGTTATTCCCAGTGGGGGGTAGGAGGGCTCCCGCTGGGATAACCACCTTGTCCACCACCACCGCTGCTGCTGCATGGACTTAGCAGCATTTATTGTAGGGTTTGAGTACAGCTATGTTCCCTGTGCTACTACAAAGTCTGCACATTTTAAAACTGGCTCAAATTATGAGAAGCTAGTTTTAAATCACAGTTCTTTACTGTTATAAAAACTGGGAATCTTGTTAAATCTGGTTCCAGGTGAGTCACAGGTGATGACATCAGCAAGACAAGATGAAAAACTGCAGCCTCAGTAACACGAGATGAGTGTAATTGGCTATTAAAATCATTCTAATCGTTCTAAAGCAGCGCTGCTTGGTTTCTTACTGGTAAAGCAAAACCACACGGTACCACTGGATCTCAGTTTGTAAAGGTAAATCCCAGGGTTGTTTCATTTCAGTGTCCAATTGAAGCGACCTTTATGTTCCAGCTGCTGACACGGAGCACATGGTGGGCGTGGACGAA